AGGAAGTCCGAGACATGAAAATACAGCATGGGGAATACAGTCAATAATATTGTAATGACTTCGAATGGTGACAGATGATAACTACACTTATGGTGAGCGTTTCATGATGTATGTGTCAAATCACTATGTTGTACCTCTAAAACTAATATATTACATGTCAACTATACCTCAATTAAAAAAATTTTTTTAATGTATTTTAATGGGTAATAAATGGGGGTACCTGGGTGGCTCAGTTGGCTAAGCGTCTGACTCTTGATTTCAGCTCAGGTCATGATCTCACCTCATGGTTGGTAGGTTCAAGCCCTGTGTCAGGCTTCAGGCTGACAGCACAGAACATGCTTGGGGTGCCCTTCCCCTGCTTTCTCTCTCTCTCAAAATACATATAATAATAAATGTAACTTTATTGAGAAACCTTACATTTATATCTAGAAACTTATTCTAGAAGGAAAACCAGAATGGGTTAGTGGTACACAGTAGACAGCCTGGGAACACCTCTGACATCTACATACTGGTAAACGTTTAGAGACATACACGTATTAAATTTGATTATCAATTTGTAGAGAAAATAATGAAATATTAAGATGGATTTTGCAAATGAGAAGGAAAAAATCTCAGTTTACATCTCAGTTCAAATAGAAAATTAACTGCACCAATCCTAACATGAAAACAAAAAGCCTAAGATTATTTAAAAATTTTTAAAACAAAACTGCACTTGAAATGTTCAAGTCATGGGGTGCCTGGGTGGCCAGTCGGTTAAGTGTCCGACGTAAGCTCAGTTCATGGTCTCACCGTTGGTGAGTTCAAGTCCCACGTCAGGCCCTGTGCTGACAGCTCAGAGGCTGGAGCCTGCTTTGGATTCTGTATCTCCCTCTGTCTCAGCCCCTCCCCTGCTCACTCTCTGTCTCTCTCTCTAAAATAAATAAACATTTAAAAAAATTGTTTTAGGGGCGCCTGGGTGGCGCAGTCGGTTAAGCATCCGACTTCAGCCAGGTCACGATCTCGCGGTCCGTGAGTTCGAGCCCCGCGTCGGGCTCTGGGCTGATGGCTCAGAGCCTGGAGCCTGTTTCCGATTCTGTGTCTCCCTCTCTCTCCGCCCCCGCCCCCCGTTCATGCTCTGTCTCTCTCTGTTCCAAAAATAAATAAACGTTGAAAAAAAAATTGTTTTAAATGTCCAAGTCATTACAAAACAAGATCTCAATTTAAAGCCACAAAACATGCTTTTCACTTTTTAAAAATAAAAATATATGCAAAATACAAAAATACAACTAAAAAATTAACCACAAAAATAACACAGAATGTAAAACAGAACGGGTATTTTCAGTATTCACACAAGCCATAAAATATTAGGCAAAATTTTAAAACAATTTTTGTGGAAACTATCCAATATATGAAGATACACACACACACACACACACACACACACACACACACACACACACCTATACAAAAGTTTCATTTTGATTTCATTTTGATTTAAAAACTTCCCTTTAACCATTCAGAGCTAAAGTAGACTGAAAATTTTAAATGTTTCAAAAACATCCTAACTGTAGAAAACTTATAGAATACTTAATACTTTATCACTTACACTTTTACCAGCCACATTTCACTGAATTTTTAAAAAATGTATTTGGAAGCTTTCCAGTGCACTCAAATGAATATTCATTAAAATAAGAATGCTTTTTGTTTTTCCAACTATCATCTGTTGTTTACATCATATTAAACAATATAAATTTTAAATAAAACCTGCATTGAATTTTTAGGAAAGAAAAAAAGTGATCCTTAACGAACCCAGAAGGTAACTATGAAAAGAATCTCTGGTGTGGAATAACACACCTTTATAATAGTACTCATCATTTTGCATTTAAGCATCATGAATTTGTTTTAAGAGGGTGTGAGGAGAATTAATTCAGCAGTTAGGGCAAGTAGAGGTCCATAAGAAGAGCTCTCCCAGTATATATGAAAATGAATCAAAATATTTCTGTGATAATCCACCAATTGACAAGCATGCTCTTGGCTTCAGTTATAGAGTGATTCAGAAGAGAAAATAAACTAGGTCATATATAGATGGATTAGTCAAAGTTCTACAGTAAACATTGATTTATGAGGCACTCTATAGAACGAACAAAACTAGGGTATTACTAATGCAATATAAATGCCAATAAATCAGAGTTAAGCACAGTGAGAGAACTGTGAAAAAGGAAAGTTATGGAAATATTTATATTAAAAACTTGATATAAAACATCATATACAAACTCAAAGTCCTATGGGATTCCGGCATAAGTGCTCAGTGTTTTGTTACGTTTATTGATGCTCCCAGGAGCTCAAGTAAACCCCATCATCGCTTCTATGTCATAGTCAGCAAACAGGCTCAGGGGGCCCTAGCTAGTTGCTCAGATATTCCTAGCTGGGGAATCCACACCAAGACCTTGGTATTGTGCAGACCCTCCTCCCTACAGGTGGTTTTGGGGACTGATTTGGATCAGGGGCTTCTGGGCTTCTGAGACGCCCCATTTCTTTCCAGCACACACGTGGGAGCATAGGCGTCTGGTGGTAACTGGGAGAGCTACAGGTGCCTGGCCCTAGGATGCCCCCTACAGGTGGAGCTATACAGGAATGGACACAGCTCTTCACATCTTCCAAAGGACCAGGGGTGGGGCAGCTCCTAATGCCCATTATAGATAAGAGAAAACTGAGGCCCCCAATGGGCGCATTTGCCTGTGGGTCTTTGTTACGGCCAGGAATCCAAGAATTAAACATAGGCAGCTTGGACCAGGACCTGGGGAGTGTGATCAATGACCTCTACATCACTACCACCCCACCCTCCGCCCCGCCAGGTTTTGGGACTCAAAGTAAAGTCTAACCCAGCCCATCCTGATGCAATGTTATCGGCCACCTGCTCCAGCCCACCAACCAATGGTCACCGATGGTGATAAAGCAGGAAAATGGGTAAACCACTACAAAGAAAGGCTTTATTGTATTCCTCAATGACTGGACTTAAGAATGTGATGGAGAATATGTTAATAATGCAGAAAAAATTTAAAAGGGTACAGCATAAGTGTCCATCCCATTGTGAATTGTGCACACACACACTTGTTTCACTGTCCTGTTTCTTAAAGGAAATAGTCAAAGCTCAAAGAATAGTAAAAAGATATGTGCAGACATGTTACCAAAGATGTAGATAGCAAATGAACGTTGGAAAAAATGCCCATTGTGAATCCTTACAGAAATGCAATTTAAACAGAAAGTGAGATAACACTAAAAACTTATTAAAAGGACTAAAATTAAAATGATTGGCCAAACAGAGGAAATGGAACTCTGAGACACTGCTGGGAAGATGCAAAATGTAGAATCAAAAGTAAAACATTTACCTACCCTGTGACCCAGACATTACACTCTAAGTTACTGACAGAAGATCAAGGAAACATACATTCACATAGGGAGCACTAATGTTTATACTAGCCTTATCTTCAGTAGTCAAAATCTAGAAAAAAAAAAAAATCCTCGTACACTGATAAATGGATAAACTGGTATATCCAAAAATATTACTTGGCAAAAACGAATAAAACCCACTACTCACATAGTATCATTGATGAGTCTCTAAGTAATTGTGACACATAAATTCCAAACATAAACTCAATCTGTCTATTGTAGGAGAAACAAATGGTTACCTACAGAGGTGGGATGCAAAGATTATAAAAGGACCTAAGTAAACATACTGTGACAGATATGGTTATTATCAGGACTATGATGATGGCTTTAGAGGTTCAGAACTATGTCAAAACTTATAAAATTATACTTTAAATATATGCAGGTTAGTACATGTAGGCTATATCTTGAATAAAGCTCAAGAGAGACTGTCCCACTTTTTTTGGAAAACAGGTTTGGCAACCTGTTTGGCACACTGACTCCATCAATCTTCCCCACGCCTATGGGGGTATCACCTCAGTGGCAGCAAATGTGGAGAACAGTGAAGAATATTTCCATACAAGTCAACAGGAATGCTCCACATCCCCGGAATATAGATCCTCCTTTATCTTTTTTTTCTTTTCCTGTCTGTGTGATAACGGCTTTGAGGCAAACATCACAGAATCCACAAAACCTTTTGATTATTTTAATTTTTATTTTTTTCTCTGACAATTACTTTAGCTACATAAGATAAATGTGCCCGGAGGTCCTGAGATTTGTGTACACACTGATCCTGCAAAGTCATAGTCACAGAAACTTTCCTGGACACATTTTTAGAAGAGGCACATTCCATCAAGTTGGCTGCAGTTTCCTTCACTCCCTATTAAGCCAGTGTTTCTTTATGAATTATGGTTTCCCCAGATGCCTGTGGTCTTACAACCAGTGACCCTGGCCCAATGGATTGTGGACATCAGGGCACATGGCTGTTTGCAGAGCTGTGGAAGAAAACACCTCAACAGTACTGACATCCCCTGTGATAGCTCCTCTGAGTAAGTGAAAAATTCATGCTGCTTTCAAAAGCCTCTGAGGGTCTCACACTTGTCCCCTGCTTGGGGTCATCACTGAGACTCCTAAAACACAAAGCATCCAGACCTCAAATGAAAACCAGAAAGCCCTGCAGTTTTTCAGAGGTTGTGGGGCAGTGATACAGATTTGGTCACGGCTGGCAAGCTACTTTCTGCCATCATCCTCTCCCTCCTCAGGCATGGACAATTTGAGACTCCTAAAAAGTTCACCCTCTAATGGTTGTTGAGCCCAAATCTGTTTATAAACCACCCCACAGAGTAAGTAGAACATTCAAGATTAAAAAGGATTTAAAAAGTAAGGCCTCGAGGGGCACGTGGGTGGCTCAGTTGGTTCAGCATCTGACTTTGGCTCAGCTCATGATCTTATGGTTTGTGGGTTTGAGCCCCACATAGGGCTCTGTGCTGACAGCTCAGAGCCTGGAACCTGCTCCAGATTCTCTCTCTCTTGGCTCTCTCCCACTCGTGTGTGCTCTAAAAAATAAACATTAAAAAAAAAAAGGGCCTTGATTATTGTTTAAGCCAAAGCAATGTGCAGCAGACCACTCTCAAGTTTGTGACTTGGAAACTGGAAAAACATCTCACAAATATCACAGGAGACCATCATGTTCCTGAAAAAGGTAGTTATTCTCTGTAAGCTGCCAGCCAAACTCATATTCTCTGGGTCATCAATGATTCAGGTTCAGGCTGAAGGTAGTCAAGATGGGGAAGCTGACCCCTAAGGGCTCAGGTTACTCCTAATTTGCTCCAATTCATGAGGGAACAAAGGTCAGCCTCCCTGAACACACTGTGGTGGTAAAGTAATACACACCTTGGGGACCTGCCAGGCGGTAGAGGAGAACAGGCTTTGGGCACAAGATCTAGCTGTGACCTAAATCTGGAAAGAGCCCTGAACAGTATGGAAAGTGCAACATATTTACACAAGCTTACCATGTCAATGAAACTTACAAGGGATCTCCCCACTGAGCATGTTTAGATGTCTGAGATTCAGTCCAGATAGAGGACTCCTCAAAGCTCCCTCCAGAGTTGTTACAGTGGATAGGAAATTGAACATTCCCCGCACACCTAAGGCCTTTCTCTAGTGTGAACTCTCTGATGTTGAGAGAGTGTAGATTTTCGTGTAAAAAATTTCCCACATTCACTGCACTCATAAGGCCTTTCTCCAGTGTGACCTCTCCGGTGTTGACTGAATTGGGAACTATCCCTGAAGGATTTTCCACATTCGCTGCACTCATAAGGCCTTTCTCCAGTGTGAACTCTCTGATGGTAACGTAGCTTGGAGCTAGAGATAAAAGATTTCCCACATTCACTACACCCATAAGGCCTGTCTCCTGCATGAACTCTTTGATGATAACGAAGAGTGGAACTGGAAGTAAAAGACTTCCCACATTCACTGCATTCGTAAGGCCTTTTCCCTGCATGAACTCTCTGATGGTAAGAGAGGGTAGCGCTACTGGTAAAAGACTTCCCACATTCACTGCACACATAAGGTCTTTCTCCTGTGTGAACTCTCTGGTGTCGAATCAGTATGGAGCTGTTGGTAAAAGATTTCCCACATTCACTGCACTGATAAGGCTTTTCTCCTCTATGAACTCTATGATGATAACCAAGGCCAGAGATAGATGTAAAGGATTTCCCACAAGCACTACACTCATAAGACCGTTCGCTATTATGAATTCTCTGGTGTATTGACAGGGAAGATTTTTGGCTAAAAGTCTTCCCACATTCACTGCACTCATAAGGCCTTTCTCCCGTGTGAGTTCTCCGGTGTTTATTGAATTGTGATCTATCCTTAAAGGATTTCCCACATTCACTGCACTCATAAGGTCTTTCTCCACTGTGCACTCTGTGATGATAACGAAGGCTGGCACTAAAGGTAAAAGATTTCCCACATTCACTGCACTTGTAAGGCCTCTCTCCTGTGTGAACTCTCTGATGGTAACGGAGGGTAGAACTGGAGGTAAAAGATTTCCCACATTCACTGCACTCATATGGCCTTTTACCTTCATGAACTCTTTGATGGTAACAAAGTGTGGAGCTACAGGTAAAAGATTTCCCACATTCATTGCACACATACGGTTTTTCTCCTGTGTGAACTCTCTGGTGTTGAATCAGGGTCCACCTATTATTAAAAGATTTCCCACATTCACTACACTTGTAAGGCCTTTCTCCTGTGTGAACTCTCTGATGTAAAATAAGGTTATTTCTTCGGATAAAGGATTTCCCACATTCACTACACTCGTAAGGCCTTTCTCCAGAATGAACTCTATGATGATAATGGAGGTCAGATCTAGAAATAAAAGATTTCCCACATTCGTTACACTCATAAGGCCTTTCTCCAGTGTGAACTCTCTGGTGATAACGGAGGGCAGAGCTAGTAGTAAAAGATCTCCCACATTCACTGCACTCATAAGGCCTCTCTCCAAGGTGCCCTCGATGATGATACTGGAGGGTGGAGCTACAGGTAAAAGATTTCCCACATTTATTGCACACATACGGCTTTTCTCCTGTGTGAATTCTCCGGTGTCGAATGAGTGTCCACCTATTGTTAAAAGATTTCCCACATTCACTACACTCATAAGGTCTTTCTCCAGTGTGAACTCTGTGGTGATAACGCAGGCTGGAACTAAAGGTAAAAGATTTCCCACATTCACTACACTCATAAGGTCTTTCACCTGAGTGAACTCTTAGGTGTATAATGAGGTTATTTCTTCGGGTAAAGGACTTGCCACATTCACTGCATTCATAAGGCCTCTCCCCGGTGTGAACCCTGTGATGATAACGGAGAGCAGTACGAGTGATAAAGGATTTCCCACATTCACTGCATTCATAAGGCCTTTCTCCAGAATGAACTCTCTGATGATAACGGAGGTCAGACCTAGAGATAAAAGACTTCCCACATTCACTGCACTCATAGGGCCTTTCCCCTGTGTGAGATCTCTGATGATAACTTAGGGCAGAGATAGAGGTAAAAGATTTTGCACAGTCACCACACTTATAAGGCCTTTCTCCAGTTTGAACTCTACATGGAATCAACACTGAGCTCTGACTAAAAGATTTTGCACATTCACCACACATATAACTGTTTTCTCCACCGTGCCATCGCTGGGGATGAATGAGAACGGATTTGTGGCTTAAAGATTTCCCACATTTGCTGCACTTGTATTGCCTGGATCCAGAGTGAGTCTTTCCATGCTGACTGAGGGTTGAGCTTTGCCGAAGGGATTTTCCACATTCATCAAACTCATGATGCCTTTTTCCAGTATGCAATCTCTGGTGGATAACAAATGAAGATTTGTAGCTGAATGTTTTCCCACATTCACTGCACACAAAACACTGGTCCTGAGAAAGCGTGTGTTTGGGACCGAAGGCTTTCTTGCATTCTCCCCAGGTGTAATGACTTTTTCTGCTCTGTATAGTTGCCCTGCACTGGCTGATTATGTTTAGCTTTTCTCCAGTATGAACGGCCCCTTGTTGCAGATGCCCCGAGCCAGGCAGGAAGTCTTTCTCAATCTCTCCACAGGTAAAGGGCTTTCCTGAATCATGGAATCCACAGCTCTTCACACAAGAGGTCCTGTCCACACTGCTTCTGAATGGTTTCACTCCCATGTGCTGCTCTGGCTGCTGCTGAGAGTTTACGCTGAAATAAAATCGTTTTGCGCATGCCCCACACCTCAACAGTTTCTGGCTGCTTGGCTTTCCCTGGTGCTCAGCCAAGTGGAAAATGTCTCTCAAGACCGGACCACACATCTCACAGGGGTGGGTCTTCCGGGAAGACAGAGCTGCCTTGGGTGTGCTGGCCTGTGACACACCTACAGAAACGCTCTGTTCAAGGGGTGCCTCCGCATCCTCTGCTCCACAGCAGCAACCTGAACGCAAAGAAACTCTCATGAAATACATGGTGACTACAGTGAGGGGTAAGCCCGTCATGCATATGCACCTGTCTCGTGTAGGCACAAGTTTATGGGATGCTTTTCCAGACACAGGAGTTGGAATTCAGTTGTGCATTACTGGGATCCTAAGGTCACAGACTGGTGGATAACCCACCAGGGAAGGAAACAAAGACAGCATATGAGACAAGGAAGAGAGATGAGGACTACAACTCGTTTCTCTGCCAACGGTTATTGGCAGGACCTTTGCCACTACTGATGAGATGCTGAGTAGAAGCATGCATCCAAGCCCACTAAAATCCAGCTGCAACAGATTAGCTGCTGTTCCATGTCATTGTAAGGACACGTGAATATCTCATGGCTAATGCTGGAGCACACAGAAAGAACACTGAGAGAAATGGGTGAGATGAGGAGTCAGAGAGGTGATGATCATCACTGCACTGAAAGTCACAGTAGAAACGATGAGAAGAACCAAGAAATTGGCAAAGTGTCAAGCCAGAGAAGAAAAAGGTAGTAATGAAGTGCGGCCAGTGGAAATGACATGAAAAGTGGGGGTGAATAAAGACAGGTTTCTGGTGTAATCTGAGCACATCCCTGATGGCACACTCTCTCCAGCCATTCACCAGGACCAGCCCATCCCTTCCCCCGCTGAGTCCACCTTGCCACATCTGGAGTCATGTCCATCCTGTAATACGCAAGGACTCTTCTCTGTAAGCCCTGAGCAACTACCTGGGACATGGATGATACAAGTCCTAAGGGAAAAACAGGACAAATGAATAGCCAGCCCTGTCCCAGGGCTGTCCAGCACACAAGAGGCCTAGAAAAAAGAGCAAGGTAGATGATGTCAGCATGACAGCAGAGGAAACCAGCCTTTGACCTTAGCAGGTTTAGGAGTCCAATTAAGAGGGGCGGCTGGCTATCAACAATATCCAAATTATGGAAAGAACCCAATGTCCTTCGACTAATGAAAGATGATGTGGCATGTGTACGTACGTACATACATGTGTACACACACACACACACACACACACACACACAGAGGAATATTACTCAGTGATCAAAAGGAATGCAATCTTGCCATTTGCAATAATGTGGATGGAAATAGAGTATATTATGCTAAGTGAAATAAGTCAGAGAAAGACAAATATTCTGTGATTTCATTCATATGTGGAATTTGAGAAACAAAACAGATGAACACAGGGGAAGGGAAGGAAAAATAAATAAGATAAAAACAGAGAGGGAGACAACCATAAGAGACTCTTAAATACAAAGAACAAACTGAGGGTTGCTGGAGGAGAGGTGGGCGAAGGGTGGACTAAATGGGTGATGGGCATTAAGGAGGATGCTTGTTGGGATGAGCACTGAGTGTTATATGTAAGTGATAAATCACTGAATTCTACTCTTGAAACCATTATTACACTACATGTTAACAACCCTGGACTTAAATGAAATTTTTAAAACATTTTTAACAAGAGGGGCACCTGGGTGGCTCAGTTGGTTAAGCATCCGACTCCTGATTTCAGCTCAGGTCATGATCTCACAGTTCATGGGACTGAGCCCCACGTTGGGCTCTGCACTGACAGCGTGGAGCCTGCAGGGGATTCTCTCTCTACCTCTCTCTCTGCCCTTCCCCTTCTTGCTTTCTCTAACACATTAAAAAAATATTAAAAAACAGTCCAATTAAGACACAACAGCAACACAAGGGAGCACACAAAAAGGAGAATAACCACAAAAAGGATTGATGGGGACACTGGCTTAGTGAAGACACCTCGAGAGACAGAAAATAAGGGTGGGCACTATATGTGTCAGCCAAAGGGGTGATGCCACTGCATTCTGCAGTGGCCTACTCTACAGGGGACCCCAGCAGCCACTGCTGCAAACCTCAACAAGTCCCACTACAGCTGTGGACTATCACAGGTTAGACAGCAGAAGTGTCCAGGTGTTTGTAGACATGGACCCCAGATGTCTGCTGTGCACAAGACCCTGGCAGCTTTTGCACTAACATGACCGACAGCTGACACCATGGGGACCTGCCAGGGAATAATAACTGAGCTGCCCCCTCTGCCACAAAAGGAGCTACTTCTCCACCCCGGGAGCAGAGCTGGCACTCACATCAAACCCGCACACACCCTGGACCCAAGAGATGCAACTGCTCCGTGGTTGCCCCTATTCCATAACCTGACTCCATGGCTGTCACCTGAGTGCCCAAGCCTCAAGTACCAAAGCCATGGACACTGTGGGCTAGCCAGCTCCTCAAAACCCAGAGACACTGTCTAAATGTACCCATGCTCCTGTCACAGGTTCCATCAATGCTCAGTGTCCAACCGCATCTCACATAGCACACTCAACACTGCTGCAGACTATTTGGCATCTGGGACCCTAGAACTGCTAATGCTCTGTGTCAGTTCACACCCTAGAAACCAGACCTGTACCTGCTCTGCAGGTGCCTGCACATCAGACACCAATGCTACCACCACCACGAAGACACCCAAGAGCTGGACTGGGCATCAAGATGGGAACCCCATGGCCAAAATACTTCCTGTGGGAGAAAGGGTTTCTCTACTACTGTGGACACACAGAGCCTTAGCTATTGAGGACTCCTGCAATCTTTCTAACATTGATCTCAGATGACAGAGCTGCAGACACTAAGCCTCTTGGCCATCTTGTAGTGGGAACTGCCACACACAGGTAAAGATCTTCCCCACTAAAACCTTTCTGTAAGGTCTAGAAGTGACTACTCCATGAAATGTACAGACATCAATGCAAGGCTACAAGAAACACAAAAAAATCAAGGAAACAGAAAACCCCCAAAGGAACACAGTAATTTATCCATCACCCTAACAAAATGCAGATCTATGAACTGTCAAAGAATTCAAAATAATTGTCTTAAGGGAGTTCACTGAGCTACAAGAAAATACAATTTAATGAAATAAGGAAAACAATTACAAAAGATTTTCAACAGACAGATACAAAAATATAAAAAAGAACCAAACAAATTACGGCATACTATATTGTACACCTGAAACAAATATAACACTGTATGTTAACTATACTGGAATTTAAATTTAATAATAAAAAAAGTTAAGGTGAAGAATACAATGAATGAAACAAACCAAAAAATACAGAAGAGAGAATCAGCAGCCAACCTGATCAATCAAAAGAATGAATCTGAAAAGAAAAAAAAAAAAAAAGAAAATCTGAAACTGAAGATATTTTGAAATTATTCAAATTAGAAAAAAGACAACCAAAAAAATGAATAAGGAAAGTCTGTGTGGATTATACATCATAAAACAATATTTGCATTATGGTGGTCCTGAAGGAGAAGACAGACAGACAGAAAGGGACAGAAATCTCATTTAAACAGTCACAGATTATAAAATAATGGATGAAAACTTCCCATATCTGGGGACAGACATGAACATACAGGTATATGATGCTCATAAGTCCCCAAAAAGATTCAAACCAAAGAGGACTTTACCAAGACACATTACAGGGGCACCTGGTTGGCTCAGTCAGAAAAGCATGAGACTCTTGATCTTGGGGTCATGAGTTCAAGACACATGTTGGATACAGAGATTACTTAAAAATAAAATCTTTAAAAAAAAAAAGAAAAAAGAAAAAAAGACGACACATTACAGTGACCCTTAAGAACAACATGGGTTCGAACCGTGTGGATTAATTTATAAGCAGACTTTTTCCAGTAAATACAGTAAAATACTATAAATGTATTTACTCTTCCTTATGATTTTAGCATATTCTTTTCTCTGGCTTACTTTAATGTAAGAATACAGTAGATGTATAATGTACAAAATATGAGTTAATTTATGTTATTAGTAAGGCTTTGGTGAAGAGTAGGCTAATAGTAACTAAGTTCTGGGAGAAGTCAAAAGTTATACATGCATTTTTGGCTGCATGGGGGTTAGCGTCCCTAACCCCTGTGTTGTTCAAAGGTCAACTATATGGGGCACCTGGGTGGCTTCGGTTAAGAAGGCTCAGGTCATGATCTCAGTTTGTGAGTTCAAGTCCCGTATCGGGTGAGCTGGAGCCCTGCTTCAGGTGAGCATGAACCCCAGGTGAGCCCCAATTCTCTCTCCCTCTCTCTCTATGCCCCTCGTGGGATTCTCTCTTTCTCTCTGCCCCTTGCTCACTTGTGCCTTCTCGCTCTTAAAAAAAAAAAAAAAAAAAGTCAACTATATAATAAAAATTGAAATATAATGACAGAGAATTTGAAAGCTGTGGGAAGAGAACTCACACAAGGGAACCCCCCCCCCCACAACCTCCATTAGGGTATGAGTAGTGTTCTTAGCTGTAACACTGAATACTAGGAGAGTGGCATGGTGTGTTCTATAAATGCTGAAACAAAGAAACTGCAAACCAAAAATACTTTACTAGCAAAGTTGTCATTCAGAAATAAAGGAGAACTGCTTTCCTAGACGAACAGAAGCTAAGGGAGTTCACCACTTGATGTACCCTACAGAAGATGCTACAACAGTTCTTCAAGCGAAATGAAAGTATGCTAATTAGTAACATGAAAATATAGAATACACTGGTAAATGCAATTGTATAGTCATAGTCAAAATACAGGAGTCCCTCATCCATTTCACTTTCCATGGTTTCACTTACCCATGGTCAACCATAGTCCAAAAGCAAATGGGGGCACCTAGGTAGTGCAGTCAGTTAAGCGTCTCTTCATCTCGGCTCAGGTCATGATCTCACAGTTTGTGAGTTTAAGCCCTGCATTGGATTCTGTGCTGACAGTACGGAGCCTGCTTGGGATTCTGTCTCTCCCTCTATCTGCCCTTCCCCATTTGTGCTATCTCTCAAAATAAATAAACTTTAAAAAAAAGTTGCAAAAGTAAATGATCCTCCTTCATTATAACAGTTCAGAGGGTCTCTAGTAGCCTAATGCTATGTCACAATGCCTAGATCATTCACCTCACTTTATCTCATCATTCTTGATGAGGCATTCTTTTTTTCGT